TTATATTTAAATATAAGCTATATTTAAAGTACGGTAGGCGTATCTCACTTACAGCGGGTTTTTATTAAAAGCTGGGCTTCGCTGGAGCAGCGTTTCCGAGCCGAAAGCTTTTCTTCTCGGATTCGTCGGGCGCTCCGGGGCTTCCTTCTCGTGCTAGGGAGGTCCCCTAGACTTGGGAGGGGTTTAGGGAGGCTATAGAGAAGTTAGAGAGAGAAAGAAATGCTTATGGTGTGAAGAAATTATGAAGAGTTCATTTCTTATTTATAGGAGTTTTATCGTAGAGTAGTCCCTAAGTTTCGTCCGTATCTTCCGCGTACGAGCTCACGCATTGGTATTTATGAGTACTACAACTTTCATTTAGACCCCGTTGACTAATTCTCATTCTATCTCAGATTTACAAAAACTGTATCGTATTTATCGCGCTCGAAGAGTATAGACTGAACTTCGTCCATATCTTTCGCATACGAGCTCCATTTTCGATGTTATTTATATCCACACGTTGGTATTTACGAGTACTACAACTTTCATTTAGACCTCGTTGGCTAATTCTCATTCTATCTCAGATTTACAAAACTGTATCGAATTAGCCGCGCTCGAAAAGTAGAGACTAAGCTTCGTCCATATCTTTCGTATACGCGCTCCGTTTTTTACTGTCTTTTTGTCGTTGAGTTCCTATTAATGAGATCTTCAATTCTCATTTAGGTCGCGTTGGCCAAAAACCGCCCGATCTAAAATTCGAGTTTCGGGTTGTGCACTGCTATGTTAAATCTTAGAAAAATCATAACTTCCTCACACGAAGTCAGATTTGGGTGTTCTTTTTATGCACGCTCTCGGTTTAACGTATACTACGACTTTTGTTTAGATCAATAAGACCACAAAGTCGTCTATCGTAAATTCACTATTTACGTCGCGTTGGGTCGTGTCGGTTTAGCTGTAAAACATTGACAGGTCATAACTTCTTCGTTATAACTCAGATTTCGGCTTTCTTTATATCTCCGAAATCCTTGTCACGACCACTAAAACTTTCTTCATAGATATCAGATTTATCTATTATTTTGTTTTTGACGCTTATTTTCATTCTTAATTTATTGTATCATTATAAACAAGTATATAAGCACATAATTCACATAATATTCACATAATTTCTCTTTATTACTTCAAAATGAGTTACAATGGTTGACCCTGACTATTACATCATTATACTAATGTTTAGCCTAGAAACACGGGCGTTACAAATATGCGCAGCAGAAGATTGACTGTGGGTTGACTCCAAACTTTTGCTTCGTTTGGACATCTCCGCGTAATCATCAGGACTTTTTAGATCTAGCCATTTTCGATTGCCCTTCACAACTCCCCAAAACGACTCATTGGCAAAAGCTCTTCCGACTTTCGCCTTGTAAATCTGACGAACTTTAGCCATGACATCCACCTCAGTTGCACCGCTTTGGGGGTTGCGGATCGCGTTCAGTTAGATGCCGTTGAACTCCATTGCGACTCTGTTGGCGGTTCTCCATTTCGAGTAAAGTGAATTGGGATTGCGGTACTTCCTTTTCACGCGTTGAAAAAAATTAAGCCAAACTTTTGCTTTGAAGGTTGTTGACTCTTGGTCGTTGTCGTGGATCGGGTCCTCCGACACATCTAGCTATGATTGCACTAGTGCCCTCTCTTCATCATCCATCCACCCTCTACATGGAGCCCTCCATTTTCCTTTTTTTTTGTACTTATGGTTCGACTTCGGGCTCTTGAAATGACTCTTGAACGGGATCTTCAACGGGGCCTTTATTGGAAGAATCGGTTGACTTGTCAAGTACGCGGCGTGGTTGGGATTGAAAATTACTTTGCGGTTGAGGTTGAGAAAAGAATTGAGTTTCTTGAACTGTTTCAAACGGATCAAGATCGACATGAGGACGAGGTGTTGGTTGATATTGGTTGTGGTAAAATGTCATTGGTTAAGAGAGAACGGAATTAATGGAAACGTTTGCGGAGTCATTGTAGGAAAGTAGTAGCTAGCAGGAGAGTGAATTGGTTGATCAAATGATGGTCGATAACATGGTGGTGATGGAATGTTTGGTGATTGAGTGTTTAGAGGTGGAAGGTTTAGTGATGGAAGGTTTGAAGCTTTCTTATTGTTGGTTCTTAGGGGTTTTCTTTGTTTGAGATGAATACATTTTTCCTTAGTGAATTGAGAGAGTTTATGAGAGAGATATGATATTTTGTGTGTGTAAATTGTTGAAAGTAAAGTTTGATTTATAGTAGTTGAATATTTAATTTTTTTTATTAAAATCGTTTTTTTAATGAAAGCTGGTAATAAGTTGTTGAAATTAAATTCAACAATTGAATTCGGTCAAGCAACAAGCAATTCGGTCAAACACACTCCATCCAATCAAATTCGTGCATGATCTTTTCTCTCTTCTCCCCAAAAGCTTGGCACGTCTCCGGTAGCAACCCCCCTAGCGAGAGCTAGGGGGTGGTGTTCTAGCTAGCATGGCAAGGCTGGCGAGTCCGGTGGCGGGTGTCACTCCGCTTAGCCTAAAAGAAACTCTTAATAAATATGTGTCAAACATGTCCTATATATGATCTGAATTCTTAAAAAATACACGTAAAACATGTTCTACGTGTGATCTCATCATTACAATTAAATAATTATTTTTGTTGTATTTAAAGTTATACTTAATTAATTGATTAATAGTTATATTATCAAGGAGGTCTTCGTACAATTTCAAGTATATATTAAGTCGCCCTTAAAAAAAGACTTGTTGTATTATGATACAAATATATTTATAATTATAAAATCATTTAATTTATATTTTAACATATTCTAATTAATTTATATAGTCTATAATTGAAATAACAAAAATATAATAATATAAACTTCTATCCTTTAAAATGTTTTATGTTAGTTAATTGGAAAGATAAACAATTAAACACGTACTGACGTACACACTAACCGACTTTTACATTATACAAACTATTAATTAAAAATAATTATATTTATTATAATATATTATTGAGACATTATTAATTATAATTATAACTAACTAATATACTTATTAAGTAATGGTTGGTGATGTTGCCGGGCCATTTTATATTCTTGTTTATGGCCAAGTGCTTTTCCATATCATTTGCCAAATATTTTAATGACAAGAAATAAAATATAATTAAATAGAAATAAAGTAGGATTAAAATTGATTTTGGCATTAAAGATTTAAATGTGACTATATATATATATATATATATATATATATATATATATATATATATATATATATATATATATACACCTATACATATTTGCATGTATAGCTCCATTTTATTCCCAACAATGGCTTCTGAATATCAATCATCCAATGCTTCGGATCCGTACAAGCACCTCAATGTCACTCTAAACCCGGATGGTACTTTGACCCGACACATCTCCTTTCCATCCTCAACCGCCGAACCCCAACTCACCACCGATTCCCAACTCACACTCTCTAAAGACATCCCACTCAACCCCACCACCGCCACCTTCCTCCGCCTCTACCGCCCCGTCTCTCCGCCCACCCAAAAACTCCCTATCATCATCTACTTCCATCCCGGCGGCTTCGTAGTCGTTAGCGCCACCACTGGTCCCATGCACCTTATCTGCTCCGAAATATCAGCTCAGACTCCTGCGCTCGTTATAAACGTCGAATACCGTCTAGGCCCCGAACACCGTCTCCCGGCGGCGTATGACGACGGGGTTGACACAATCCGGTGGGTGCGTGACCAGGCATTAGGAACCGGACTCGACGCTCCGGAGGAGTGGTTGACCGAATTCGCTGACTTTTCTAGAGTCTACCTAATGGGTTCTAGTGCCGGAGGAAATCTAATCTTCAACGCGGGTTTACGTGTACTTGATCTTGATCTTGATCCAGTTAAGATCATGGGGCTCATCATCGACCAAGCTTTTTTTGGTGGGATCGAGCGCACTGAAGCAGAACTTCGACTAGTAAATGACTATATTCTCCCTTTAACCGCATCGGATCTTTTATGGTCTTTGGCGTTGCCTTTAGGAGCTGATAGAGATCACGAATACTGTAATCCTTTGGCAGATCGACACGTGTCATACAAAGAGAAGATCGGACGGCTTCCGAAGAGTTTGATCAGGGTGAATGGTGAGGATCCAATGGCTGATAGACAAAAAGCTTTTGCTAATATGTTGGAATCACATGGTGTGCACGTGACAAGAAAGTTTTATGATGAAGGAAACCATTGTGTCGAGATGTTTGATCCAAAAAAGGCACAAATCTTCTATAATGATGTCAAGAATTTCGTTTGCAGTTAACTTAGAAAAGTCAGAATGAATTATTAGTATTACATTATATTAATATATTATGTTGTAGGCTCAATAACTTCATTTGCTCTTGTATTTAACTACGTTATGGGGATAAAATAATGATCTAAAAGTTATTATTTTTCATTTGCACTATTTATACGTTTTTTTATTGCATCGGTGGTCCGTGATGTGGATGTGATTAAAATATTGACGTTAAATACATGTAACAGAGACTGTTGATTTCTATTACAAACTAAGACATAATACTTCTTGTATTTAATTGCAAAATGCAATCATTAAACAATTATAAACTCACTAAATCAAGTAAAATATAGAAAAAAAATGATGGTCTAGAAGAGTAAAGTAGTCCCAAAATAGTTTTCTTTTTTGGGTCTCCCATGTGTCACACTCGAAAGCTCAGTGCCCTAAAAATTCCACATTTGGGTGGAACGTGATTTCACATTTGTCCATAAGGAGGTGGATATGCTTGGTGGTTATCTGTCCAACATGATCATCAATCTCACCAAAATGAGTAGATGACTCGTCACTTGTGACTATTTATATACATATATTACATATACATACATATATCTATCTATACCACCGTTTCATGACAATATGACATCATCCACAACAATGGCTTCTTCGGATCCTTACAGGTTCCTCAATATCACGCAAAACCCGGATGGCACTTTGACCCGACACACTTCATTTCCATACTCACCAGTCACCAGCCGAACCCCAACTCACCACCGATTCACAAGTCACACTTTTTAAAGATATCCCACTCAACCCCACCACCACCTTCCTCCGCCTCTACCGCCCTGTCTCTCCGCCAACCCAAAAACTCTCAATTATTATCTACTTCCACCCCGGCGGCTTCGTATTCGTTAGCGCCACCTCTACTCCCATCCACCATACATGCTCCCATCTATCCGCTCATTCTCCGGCTATCGTTATAAGCGTCGAATACCGTCTTGCCTCCGAACACCGCCTCGCGGCGGCGTATGACGACGGGGTTGAAGCAATCTCGTGGGTGCGTGACCAGGCATTAGTAACCGGAATCGACAATCCCGATGAGTGGTTGACCGAACTGGCTGACTTTTCTAAAGTCTACGTAATGGGTGCTAGTGCAGAGGAAATCTAACCTACATCGCCGCTTTAAGTGTACTTGATCTGGATCTTGATCCGATTTCGATCGTGGGGCTCATAATGGACCAACCTTTTTTGGGAGGGATCGAACGCAGTGGAGCAGACGAATGAAGATATACCAACGTCTTCTCTTCCTTTGATTATCTTTATGGGCGTTGTGAAAGAATAACATCTAACCCTATTGTAACGGAGTTAGGTGCATTTATTGCTCCTTTTTATTACGACGATCCCAATTATACGTAAACACAATAAGGTGCTTACAAGGAAATGAAGTTACAACAGTAGTCCTTCATGTTTATTTCTCTATTCGAAATCTACCTTTCATTTATGTTTTAAACCTTCACATATTCCGTTTATTTCTTATTAACAATTAAACACATATAGTTTTTCGTATTAACAACTTAACCAACTTAACCCCTTCGAATTTTTATTGTTAAACTAATAACCAGCACAACGTTACATTATTTCTACATACCGAAAGACTAACATCGCTAACATAAATAATTTAGGTCGTTACAACTTCTACCAATGTCAATTAACTATCTTACGAATATAATTACATGTAATAAAGATTAAACAACCCTTCAACTGAAAGATCTTGAACTACAACAATTGGACTCAAACAAGAGCTGCGTAATAGGGCAAAATCAAACATTCCAAGACTATTTAATCTTCATGGCATGTAACTTAACGTATTCGCTTAATAGTTAACTAACATCAATATAGGTTTCACATAAAACAAAGCAAGCAACATTTGAGCAGAAAAACCTATAGGAAATAAGGCATCATAAGGATTAAACAATTCTACCATCAGGCCGGTCCATTGATTTTTTTGCCATGGGCGTGAGTATAAAATAATGCCCACATATTTATACAGTACAATAGACCAAACACATATAGAAAGAAAATAAACAAAAGTGCATTAAACTTTAGACAAAATTTCACAATTGGTCCCTGTGGTTTACAGAATATCGCACTTTGAGGACTTCCTAGCAAAAAGTCACGAGACTAGTCCCTGTGGTTTGTAAAATTACATGAAAGGTCCTTCTGCCGTTAAATCTAACTTTTCAGCTGTAAGATTGTAATGGAAAAGACTATTTTGCCCTTATATCAATATTGCAATACACTACAAACCTCAAGGACCATTCGTGTAATTTTATAATTTTGAAATTTTATGTATATATAAATTATAAATATAAATTCCGTATATATATAAATTATATATATATATATATATATATATATATATATATATATATTCAACAACTTGATAATTTTTTTTTATCTTTTTGACATTTTATTTTCTATTTTTATTTTATAATTTTAGTTATTTATGGTTTTTTTATGTTTTTATTTATTTTAATTCAAGTAAATAAACTTAAGTTCGATAAACCATATCGAAACCTTTTTTTTCTTAATTATGAAATGAAACGTTAATGTTTTTTTTTTA